TAGCCACTTTTGAAAGAGATGTATCTTTGCTCTGGAAACTGTTATTGAGTATATTAAAGCTACAATGATATGCTTCTTCTAAAAAAAGAAAAAAGAAAAAAAATTTTTCCCTTTGTGTATGTGTGCAGGTGTGTATAGTACGTGCATCTGAGTCCATCTGTGGAGGCCAGAAGTTGATGTCAGGTGTCTTTCTCAACCACTCTCCATCTTATCTTTTGAGACAAGGTCTCTCACTGAACCCAGTGCTCACCAAATGGCAGACTGGCTGGCCAGTGAGCTTCACTGTCAGACATCCCCCTGCACTAAGGTTACAGGTGCAACATACCTAGTTTTTTTCTGTGGGCACTCGGGATCCAAACTCACACTTGTGCAGCAGGTGCTTTATTCACTGAAGAGCTTCTTTAAAGTTTCCATGACCCTAACTGATTTCTCCCTTCTTAATGGAATTTCATGAACTCTAGCACTTGTTGGGTCTTCTGAACCTATCCATCTCAGAATGCTCCACAAATATCTCTATTCACTTATTAGCTCACCTTCTTTCATGTTTAGCCAGACTAAAACTCCCTACGGTTTTACCTGTTCAAAAAATAGCAGCTACCACACTTTTTACTATGAGCCATATGTTAAGTGCTTTAAATATTTTACTGGATTTAATCATCACAATAATGTTGTTCTTGATAGTCCTCCTTTTTTACAAAAGAAAAGAAAGCAAAGGAAATCAACAAATTAGCCTGAAGTTGCATAACTGGGAAAAAACAAGGCTAAGATTGAAGCTAAATCCTGTCATCCAAAAAGTGGGTTGCAAACAAATGTTTCTTCAATAAGCCCATCATGTCATATGTGGCGAAGGTCTTATCACATCCAAATGAATTTATGAGGGTAGAAACCATGCTAGGGGAGCTTATGAGGTGGGCGGAAGAACGACCCTTCTTGGCTGAGTACATGTCAGATTAGGCTGTGGCGGGCATTTTATGATCAACACCTCTGAACACTCCTAAGGATTCCTTCATCAGATTCACCCCAAATGTCAAGCACTCTCAACCAATCCACACATGCTCCCCACGTGGGACAAATACTACATCCCTTCTGCAGGTCGAAGTTCAAAGAAAAGAAGAGTATTTTTAAAAAAGTAGAAGAGTATTTTTAAAAAGTCACGTGGCCAATGGCTAACTCAGACTAGAATCCAGGTCTGACTTCTGACTGTCCTGCCCCAGAAGACAATCAACTCACAGGGGAAAACTTATTTACCCTGGTCTCGATAGCCTAGAATTATGGCAAAAGTTCTGGAACAATTTCAATGAAAAAAATATTTACTGGATACATGTCAATCTTACGTGTTCAAATACTTCTCCACTTAATTGCTACGTGACACAGACAAAAATCTTTTTGCCTCCCCGAGCCCCAATATTTTATCCATAAACGAAGCTATTTATAGCACCCATCAAACAGTATCGCCCCGAGAATCAATCAGGTGATCACAAGGCCAGTCGGTACTGTGTCTGAAGTACGGTAGCACCTGGCACGTACGGGCTCCCCTCGCCCGCGTCCCCCGCAGGCTCGGGGTTTGCCCACACCCCCTACGCCTCAGGGTGTCCCAGCTCCTGAGGCCTGCACACGACCTCCAGGGTCGGTGGGCCCCGCTAGCCGCGCCGCCGTACCTGCATGGAGTCGGCGCTGACGATCTCGCCCCCGAGCCGCTGGCCCAGCTGCAGCGCCAGGGTGGACTTGCCAGTGCCTGTGGCCCCGAGAATCACTACCAAAGGCAGGGTGCGCCGCAGGCCCCGGAGCCCAGCGCTCGCGGGAGCCACTCGTGCAGCTGCAGCCGCCATCTTAGAGACATCTGCGCATGCGCGGGAGCAGCTGTCCCCATGGCAACAGGCCTTGAGCTGGCACGGATCTCCGGCTCAGAAGGGAGGGTGCTAGGAAAATGGGAGCTTGCAGGACAAAGGTCCACAGCGCTTCCGGAATCAACTACCTTCTGCCAGTCCAAACACTTGCTCTCTCAAAAGAGAGATGACAACCCCATCTAAAATACACCTGCCCTTGTTGTTCATACCAAGCACCCAGTTGTTTTTCTTCACAGCACTAATTACAGCATAAAATTGCAGATTGGCCTCGTGTGTAGCGTTTGAGTTCTACTACAGGCTGTTAGTTCCACAAAGGGGCAGATTCTGACTAGATCATTCCTGACTGTATCTCCAATGCCTAGCACAGTATATAGTACCAACAAAGAGACACCCAGTAATTATCAACGGGATAGAAAAATGACTTGCCTCCTTAGTGCTAGATCTCATAAGCTCAGGGATGTGGCATTCTTCAAAATCAGATGTGCCCAGTTCTCAGGCAAAAGTATCGCTCTAATGCTTTCATTCCACAGTGCAACCCCAGAAGCAATCAGAAAGCAGGACAAAACTTTCCATCTGCATGGCCAGAGCATTCAAGAGATAGAGACCAACAACGAAACCAAATAACCAAGAACCCACAAAATTAGAAGAAGAAATTAAAGCATTAAGCAGTAAAACCGCAGATTAAAGTAAGGGTGGAAAAAATAAGACCAACAATGACCAAAAGTCGGAAAATTCCACACACTCCTTTAAGAAATGGCATTAGGAAGTGGGGTGTGGCGGTACACTGCTTAATTCCCAGTACTCAGGCAGAGGCAGGTGGATCTCTGTGAGATCAAGGTCAGCTTGGTCTACATAGCAAGTTCCAGGGGCAACAGGGAAACCCTATCTCAAAAATAAAAAACGAAGTACACCTTTAATCCCAGCACTTGGGAGGCAGAGGCAGGCAGATCTCTGTGAGTTAGAGGCCAGCCTGGTCTACATAGCGAGTTCCAGGTCAGCTGGAACTACAGGGAGACCCTGTCTCAAAAAAAAATCAATGGCTGGGCTTGGTGGTGCACACCTTTACTCAGTACTCTGGAGGCACAGGCAGGCAGGTCTCTTGAGTTCAAGGCCAGCCCAGTCTACCAAGTTCCTGCAGGACAGCTGGGGCTACAGGGAGACCCTGTCTCAAAAAGACCAAAAAAAAAAAAATTTTTTTTAAATAAACACTTTCTTTCCCTCCTTTATGCAGGAGGTTGAACCCCAAGCACCTCTAGGACACTCAACATGCACTCTCCCACTGAGCATACCCCAGCCCCTAACTTCACCTCTTGGCCTCAATGTTTTTATCTTTCAATTCCTCAGAGGATTGCCATAAGGAGAAAATGAAATAATGTCTGGAAAGTGCTTGTGATGATGCCCTGGCACATAACAACCACCATTTGTTGAACAGTTTGTATTATTATAATTGTAACATCCCATCTGCCTCCCTAAAGAGGTAAGAGCAGCAGCCTAAGGGCAGAGGAATTTTCAATAATGTGTGAAAGTGCTTAAATATCTCTTCTGCTAACCTCTAGCTAGGCAATTTAAGGGTTCTGGGGATGCAGGTTAGTGGCAGGACATTTGCCTGGTAAGCATGAGGCCCTGGGTTCAGTCCCAGCAGTGGGGGTGGGGATGTTCCTAAATGGTTTTTCTGTGATTGGCTCTATCTAGCTCTCAGGTAAGGCTATGAATCCTTACACCAAAGGAGTGACTCCTAGAAATTCAGAGCTTATGACTGGCCTGCCTAGAATAACTACCTTTGTGTTTTGCAATCACTTGAATCTCCTTAGGCAAAATGGCCACTCTTGCAGACCCAGCCTAAACCTTGGAGCTCCATTATTTGGAGAACTCCAGTTCCCAGTTCTTGGTCCCTGGTACCTTCTTTTCTCAGTCCAGGCTGCTTTGATGAAAAGCCTTGTTCTCTAATTTGTGGTGCCTGCCTGGGGCTGGGTTTAAAATGGAGATGTGTGGCCACATATTGGCAGACACTCTCACATGATGGTTGTTAACTGTAGAGCCTTTGCCTGGAGACTTTCAGAGGGTATGGTTACCATGACAACCACTATAAAGATGGCAGGCTAGAGAAATGATGCAAATAAAGGAAAAGGGGAGGCTGATTTCATGATGACAGTCTGACGATGACAGACTATGCTGGCTCACAGATGGGATAGTACTGTCCAAGTCATGACCAGGTGACTGTTATTAGAGAGAGAAGAAAAACAGGAGGGTGGAATTTACCACCAAGAGACCCAAAGAGGAAGAGGCTGGTTACCAAGGCAACAGGAGAGAAAGGAATGAAAAAAAAAAATAAGGCTTCACCACAGCAGCAGAAAATTGCTTCTAGCCAAGCAACACAGGACTGTTGCTATAGAAACAAGGAGAACAGGGATCCCGTAGACCATGGGGAGAATTATCACCGAAATGCTGAGCAGCAAAGATCAGAATGGAGTCTGTGGTCCAAAACAAACGAGAAGTGAGAAAAACACAGTACCGTGGTTGCCATTCAGTGCTTTTCTACCAGACCGACCAAAAAACAATAAGAACAGATTTTTTAAAAAAATTCCTTACACTATATTATTTGTAGCTCTACTTGTCTTTCTAGTGATCTTCTGCACTCTAAATTATACTAAAAATAGTTCCTGAAAGATACTCTGTAATTCGAAATTCTAATCAGAGGCCTTGTATTCAAGGGAAAATTAGGAGATTGAAGTCTATAACCAGGAGTTGGTGAGTATTTCTGAAACAACAGCAACATAAAACCTTCTAATGGGAAGCAGTGCAGGGTAATAAAGAGATAAAAGAAGACACAGGGGAGTCAGGAAAGCTATTTGTACTCATGCCCAGGTACTGGGCTTGACCTCTCTCCCTCTTCTATGAGACCAGATGGGAAGAAACTCACTCTATTCTGAAAGGAGGCTCAAGAGAAAATAATATGTTACTTGAAGTGTATGTATATATCCCAAGAAGGCTAAAACATACTCCATGCATTGCAGATTAGATTATTGAAGACAAAGAAATCCTAGAGTTTTTTTGTTTGTGTTTATAGGGCTAGGGCTAAAACCCAGGACCTAATGCATACTAGGAAAACACTCTACCATAAATTAAATCCCTAGCCACGAAATCTTATTTTGATTCATTTCTGAGGCAGATTCTCCCTATCCAGCCTAGGATGACCCTGAACTCATCATTCTCCTACCTCCGCCTCCCAAGGGCTGGCATTAGGAGCACTAGCGCCATGCTAGGCTCATCAGAAATCCTAGTTTTAAATTGGGTGTGATGGCACATGCCTTTAATCCCAGCATTTAGGAGACAGAGGCAGGCAGATCTCTATGAGTTCAAGATTAGCCTGGCCTTGTCTATATAGTCCCAGGCCAGCCAGTGCTACACAATGAGACCCTGTCTCAAAACAAACAAACCAACCAACTAAGAGCAGTACATATGGTGAAAGATAAGGAGGGAACTCTAGATAAGGATGATCCTTGAATGGTCATTGCATTATTTCCTAATCTCTTATAGCATAATCTATTCTGTATATATGTGGTTGTTCATATGTGTATGAATATGTGGAGGCCAGAGATCTGTATCAGGTGCCTGCCTCAGTTTTTTTTTCCAACTTATTTTATGAAATAAAGTCTATGGCTGAACCTGGAGCTCACCAATTTGGCTGGACTGGCTGACCAGCAAGCCCTGGGAATCTTCCTGTCTCTGACTCCCAGTGCTGGGATTACAGGCCCACACCATCATGTTCAGCTTTTTACATGGGTGCTGGGGATCTGAACTCAGGTTCTCCTGCTTGCACAAGCAAACATTTTACTAACTGAACCTCTCCCTAGCCCCTAAATATGAATTTTGAAATTTTATGTGTGTGAGTGTATTGCCTGCATGTATGTAAGTGCACCTGTGTTGTACAGTGCCCACTGAGGTCAGAAGAGGACACTGGATCCCCTGGAACTGGAGTTACAGACAATTGTTAACCATCATATGGCAACTGGGATTCAAACATGGGTCTTCTGCAAGAGCAGCCAGTATTCTTAACCACTGAGCGATCTCTCCAGCCCCATCTGTTTTTTTCTTTAGGAAGAAGGAAAAGGGCCTGGAGGATGGCTCAGCAGTTAATACTGTGTATTGCCCTTCCAAAGAACTGGAATTCTATTCCCAGCACCCAAATCAGCAGCTCTCATGACTTGTAACTCTAGCAATGAACACACACGCACAAACCCACACACATATACACAGAACTCAAAAAGAATAAAATAAAAATATTTTAAAACTTTTATTTATTTATTTATTTATTTATTTATTTATTTATTTATTTGGTCTTTTTGAGACAGGGTCTTCCTGTAGCCCCAGCTGGTCTAGAACTCACTATGCAGACCAGGTTGGCCTTGAACTCACAGAGATCTGCCTGCCTCTGCCTCCCGAGTGCTGGGACTAAAGGCTTGCACCACCATGCCCAGCTTATTTATTTTTTTATGTGTATGAATGTCTTGCCTGTGTGTATGTAAGTGCACCTGTGTCATGAAAATCCTGCAGAGGCCAGAAGAGGGTGTCAGAGCCCCTGGAACTGGAGTTATAGACAGCTGTTAGCAGCCATGTGGATGCTGGGAATCAAACCCAGGTCCTCTGAAAGAGCAGCCGGTGCTCTTAACTGCTTGAGCCATCCCTCCAGCCCCATAAAATAAATTTTCTTTAAAAAAAATGAAAGAAGGCTATAAGAAGGCAAAAGATGAAGACATTAGAATGGAGAGGCCATCCAAAGCAGATAGTGCAGAAGGCTCAGACATTTATGGTGGAATTCTGGAGGATACTGTAGGGTTCAGAACAGGAAGAATGTGCCATGGGAAACTCCAAGCACTGATTGGTCTCCAAGGTGAGAGAAGAAAGCTAGGTAAAAGGCAAATACAACCCAAGATGCCCTTGCAACCCAATCCAATCTTACTTATATATCCCAAAGGAAAAAAAAATTCCTGT